CTTTTGGCGCTTTTCCACTATACAGAACCAGCTCGACTCGACTCGCCTTTGTTTAGTTTTCTACTGTGTAAAAGTTGTACCTGTACCTGCTTTCGGGTACTTTTTTTTGTATCGGGCGAGGTTCTGAGTGAGCCGGACTAAAATGTGACGTGAAAACAATCCCGACTGCTGATTGGTCAGAGAGAATCGTCACCATTCACTGCGTCATCACTGCACGCGCCAGACGGAGTATACAGAATATCCCCACCATTTTTAAATAGTTTGGCCAGAGATAGTTACTAAACTTACTACTATTATAATAGCAACTCGGAAGAATAAGCCGTGGTCAAACGAGGAGGATCAGACTTTCCTTTGTTTGGTTGCCAAAGAGAGGATCCAGTGAGAGCTTGATAGGGCAACGAGGAACGAAAAGGTGTTGCTATGACGACCGCATACTATTTGTGGCGGTACTGTCTGCAATGGAAAACGGAATCTTATCTCGAAAAGCGAGCAAAGGCGAGCCGAGTCGAGTCGAGCTGGTTCTGGTAATGGAAAAGCGCCATTTGACAGTATAGTGTCCCCGTCACTTTGGGGCATTAGGACCCACATGGCTTCACTAACACCTCTTCCAGCAGGAACCTGGTTTTCTCATGAGGTCTCCCATTCAGGTACTAACCTGGCTCAGCCCTGTTTAGCTTCAGTGGGGAACCAGTCTTGGGCTACAGGGTGATATGGCTGCTGACGATAACACATTTTATGTGGGCTTGTAATCACAATTAAAGCCCAAAAAAGAGGTAAATTTGCACGAGTACTCTGAGTCTTTTATGCCACTTGACATACATTCCTGCAAGTACATTTTTTAAGATCATAATTAGTTCCAGTCAAACACATACACAGTAAGATGTATTGTAAGGTGTCAGGGAAGACAGTGGATCTCACATGGGTAAGTTACCACAGGTTGCTGTAATAATCTTAGCTCTGGCCAGAGCAGTAGAGATCTAATGAAGGCAGCAGGAGCTCTGTGCAAGCTTATTAAGCTGGCCATCCCATTCTTAATCAGCTGGAGCAGAGATCCGTGCGTGAAACAGCACAACTGCATGTGGTGGCATAATGAGGGTCTGTTAAATCCTCATGCTCTTGTGACATGAAAAAGGAGAAAATCAATAGTTTTCCTGTTGTAAGCATCTCCGCATAGCATGTTTATGTAGAGCGCAGGCCTGATTTATGTGGTCAAGCAGACATGACGGGTCAATGCGGTTACCATTGTTCAGCAACCTTTGGTAGTGATGTATAGTTTTTTGTGCATGCTGTCATTTTTATGTATTAAAGGGATAGTTCATTTTAAAATTCATTTTTGATATGTTTTAGCTTACCTCAAGGGCATCCAAGATGTAGGTGTCTTTGTTTCCGCAGTAATTTCAATTTTTATATTTTTAAGTCAAACCGTTCTTGTCTGTCATTCATATAATGGAAATATATGGGGTCCTCCTCAAAGAGCATGCACAGAGAAGTCCAAATTAAACTTGATTTAATGACTCGTAAATGTAAGTACACTTTGATGGCCTAAGACACGAAACGAGCAATTTGTGTGAGAAAACGAACAGTATTTATGTCGTCTTTAGCTCTTGTAAACACAGCCGCGTCCAAGTGATTCGAGGGCGCGGGCGCTTCGGTCTATAATATATAAATACTATATAAAAAACTATATAAATACTGTTCGCTTTCTCACAAAAACGACTTGCTTCGTGTCTTAGGCCATCAATGTGTACTTACATTTGTGAGTCATTAAATCATGTTTAATTTTGACTTCTCTGTGCATGCTTTTTGAATACTGAATCACATTTTAACACAGTCTCATCCCAAAAAGTCATATAACTGACGTTTTGGGACGTATTTTGACCATACGTCAATATCCGCCTTTTTAGGGCCCCCTTAAACGTCGGTAGATGGCGATCCCGGTCCGTCATACAATTGACGCTTTACCTTTAACGTCAGTTAGGTGACGGGTTAGGTTTAGGGTTAGGTTTAGGTATGGGGTAGAGTTAGGATCCCATAACCTCATCTACCGACGTTTAAGGGGGCCCTAAAAAGGCGAATATTGACGTATGGTCAAAAGACGTCCCAAAACGTCAGTTATATGACGTCTTGGGATGAGACCGGGTTGCACATTTCGTCCCATTGCGCAGTCACAAGATTTTTTTTGATGCACATCGAGGAAAATTGTTCAGTGTTTCCATCATATTTTGTTCACATGTTTTCTAATCAGATAAAACATTTATCTCCCTCAATTGAGCACATACATTTTTTATGTGCATTTTTAAAATGTATTTATTTTTTATTATATATATACATTTATATTAGAATTGTATTTATTTGTATGCGATATTCAAAAATGTGAATAAAATAAGTAGATAAGAAACAACTAGTGTCACTAGAAAAACAAGTGATTTATACACTTCTTTGAGGTCATGTTTCATAATACAGTATTACAGTATATCATAATACAGTATTATTTTTGAACTGGATTATTTTCTCACCCAGTTTTTTGAAGAGGCACAGCTTCCATTGCATCCGCAGAGGAAACAACCCTTCTATAGCTGAGTGCAACGTATTATCATTTAGATGTGAGCTGAACACATCTGGCGTGACCTATAGATAATCCACTTACTGTATATTAATATAAAGAAAAGAGATTTTATCAATCAAATCCCAGAGATTGAAGCGTGTGCTTTATCCTTTCATCTTCACAGCTGCAAATCATGAATCTTTTCCCATTTTTTCCCATTAAAGAATCCTGGTTTCCACAAAAAAGATTAAGCAACACAACTGTTATCAACAATGATAATAAGAAATGTTTGCACCAAAAATTTCTGAAGGATTATGCGACACTGAAGACTGGAGTAATGATACTGAAAAATCAGCTCTGCCATCACTGGAATAAATTATGTTTTCAAATATATTCAAATAGAAAACAGTTGTTTTTAATCTGCAATAATATTTGACAATATTGCTATTTTACTGTATTTTGGATCAAATAAATGCAGCATTGGTGAGCATAAGAGACTTCTTTCAAAAACATCACTGATCCCAAACTGCCCATTCGGTATGTCCCTACATATTTAATATATTTTCATCATTTGTGTTCTCCCGTAACTAACGTGAAGTCATCACAAAGTAAAGATTTATGCTGATATTTTCCAAACCCCCATTTTGAGATCTTACTTTTTTTTGTAATCTAACTTCATGGTCCTGTCAAAACATAAAATATGCAGGTATTAAAATAAAACTTTTTTTCTTGATAAGTCAAAAATATGTTTTGACCATACATGCAAACCCTCCACTGGTACAAAAAAGGAGTGAGCTCATAAAGGAAGGGGTGCAACCAAAAACACAAGCACAGTCCAAGCAGCCTTTTGATATCAAAGAAAACCACACAATGAAACACGAGACCCAATTTTCATGCTGGTCTCATACACTCATCTCAGGGCCATCTCTGGTCTCATACACTCATCTCAGTCTTAATTTCAGTGAAAACAAAATCTTTTTATTTCTGTAAACGTCAGATTTCACTGGTTCCAACTGTAGTTCTCACTGCATAAATACCCCTTCATGTCACCTTTTAATGAAGTGTTTTTATTACAATTTGGCTCTTACACAAAAGCTTTTGTAACACTATCCATTCTCCACAATCCCATCAACGCTGTCTTTCTGAACTCAGCTGCTTGTCTCAAAAAAAAAAAAAATGGCATCAAATGCTTAGTATCAAAGAGTCAGATAAACCCAGTCGACCTTGGGTGCGGCTGAGCCTGGGCACGACTGCCTTGAGAACAAGTGGAGCACATGCTGACAAAAAGAGAACCCGAATTTCGGAAGATGAAAGTCATGTTTAAGCATTCCTAGACGCACTCTTCAGAAGGACCGTGACTGTCTATGCGTGCAAGGATCAAAGCCTCGCCTCCAGTGCCGAGTTGATGGCGGAGTATATGGAGTGTGGGGGCTATCGAGGTCCCTGTGTTAATGGGGACTGGGAAGAGCTTTGGGCTTTGATGGAGAGCTTGTGCCTGATCCCCATCACTACTGCATTGTCTGAAGGGCAGGGACAGTGGATCAGGCTACAGTCTCGCTATATGGAGTGCTTTGGTGTCATGCTGTTCATACAGGTGTAAAAAAGACCTTCTTCTTCATTAGACAGGTGATGTCATGAGACTGACTGATGTGAGAAGAGATTAGATGTTCCTTTCATACAAAACCAATTCATTTTCTCTGTATTAAAATACTCTTATTTCAGCCTGAAGTTTGTTTCACCCCAAAATGGAAATATGTCATTTACTTACCCTCATGTCATTCCAAAACCACAACACTTTTGTTCATATTCAAAATACAAATGAAGATATATATATACGGTATATATATATATATATATATATATATATATATATATATATATATATATATATATATATTTAAATATCAGCTCATCATTTTGGTTTTGGAACTACATGAGGGCGAGTAAATGATGACAATTTTTTTTTTTTTTTACTAGAAAGTAGAAATCAATCATGCATAGCTTGATTTCTCAAAAGATTGTGCATCGCTAATAATTGTACATAAAAAATATATATTTCATGTAGATTATATGTACACATAAATTTGTTCTTACCCTCATTTTAATGACAGTATATTGCTCTGTTCAGGAGGGCAGAACTACCTCTTTATTTTAATTAATACATGTAACAGAAAACTGCCTGGATATGGTTTCTTATGAAAATGATGTATTGCCATAACATAGTACAGCTAATATTAAACAGTATATAAGTTCGTAATACTATATTAAGTAATCAGGTGTGCGTTACAGTGTATATAAACTTATCTTTGGTATATTTATGGTCTGACTGTCAAAAAGCAGTGATGGGAAAATATCATTGATATTTCCTGCCTCAGGGTAACTGCAGCTTAGCTCCAAAATCAATACTTCCTCTTCAATACAAGACATAACACAGGCAAACAAATGGAGAACATACCCGTTGTTTGGTGACATGCCTCAGTCCGATGTGTGGCTGACTCCTGCACTGTTGAGGAAGAAAAAAAAAATTATTTTCTAGTACAAACACAGAGACCCATTTTTCTACATTTTTTGAGCTTAAAAGTCTCTGATTTTTGCATTCTCACTCTCCAAATGTTTCAGAGAACTTAAGTGAATATAATCTGAACTGATATTTGTAGAAGGCAGTATTATAAACTGCACGACAGTTGTGAACACAAATCAAACATGGCAACCACACAAAGGTCATTTGATCAGAAAACATTATAGAACTTGACAACACAGTTTTCCAGGAGAATTCAACTTGATCAACTTGGACATGATTCAACAGGATACGGATCAGGTAAATAATAATTTGTGTCAGCACTTTAAACTCCTTAACTAAATGGTTTCTGTATCATATCCAGAAATTTGAGGATAAGAGGAGGGACAGTGAACGAGGAGGGCTAATTTTAGAAAACAGGAAGTCCATGTCATTACAAGTGAGTATAAAAAACACCATTTTATAATTTTTATCTAAAAATAAAAAATAAATGCCATATTTTTGAATACTATTATTTGAGACCTAATGTAAAAAGAACAATAAATATATATTTTTTATGTTATATGATGTGTTTTTATGTTCCTAGAGGCTTGACTACACTACACGACAAACAGGGTCGGCGCTAATGGGGGGTATTAGGGGGCATTAGAGGGCCATGGGTTGGTTTCCATCCACTGCGCAAAATTATTAAAACATGATTGCAGAAGCCAATGGCCCCCCTTAGAAATATAAATGATTTAAAATATAATTGGCCCCTGGCTTTGACAACAAATCTGAACACTTGGCACTTGTCAACTTTGTAAATAATTACAGAGAAAATCTGAGCATCATGAACTAAACGACTGAGGATCACACATTGCCAGTCTCTAGTCATTCCAAACACCACAAACTCACACAGAAACTTGTGTGGTGAAACCTGCATGTCGCATTTCAAACATGACGTGTAAAGGCCAACAAGCTTGGATTTTCTTTCCAAAGACAAGGTTCATAAACAGTCTGCAGTCCTTTACTTCACCAGCTGCATCAACACACACAAAAATACCTTAACTGACTCAAATTATGATGCCTCCTCACAAAATCAAAACTGAACCTCATATACTCTCTCTTACATGCACTCACACAAGCCACTCTAACAACCTAACTCAATGAGCGTCTAAACCTAAGATTTGAACACTGACCTGAACCAGAAACCACCACTCTCCATGGGACAAAGCAATTAACTGTTGATTTTGCGACTCTAGAGTAAATGTATTCAGCTGATGTAGACAAAACATGGTGCCTGGGGTAACAACACCTGCTCCAACCCATTAAAGATGATGGACCTTTTCACAATTATAGGTAAATATAAAATGAAAAAGAAACCATATCGATTCAAAACAATACAATAGCACAGAAAACTGCTGCTCATGTAAATTCCTCAGTAATCTTCTTAATATCTAAGAGCAAAACATGCACAAATCATGAGAGAGGACAGACAATTGCAAACAGAAACCATGTCACATAAGAGTTCTTCATTATGAGGGGAGCCCAGTTGCCTAGTTACCACGACAGCCTGCTCGGAGCAAGTTTTTGGGCTGGTCTACAGAATCTCTGTCACAATACATCGTGGCTCTGCTGCCTGAGGGGTTAAACGCCTCCTCCAGTCTAAGTGATGCATCTGAGTGCTTGTGTGTGTGTGTGGGAGGTTAGTTTATGACATAAGAAACAGAGCGCTCTCCAGGTCTAGTTGCCCAGAGGGACCAGTTACACAAAATGCTTAGATGGTCTCCCTCAAGTTAGGCCGGGGACAAACTTAACGACTGTAAGGCCGATTGTGAACGTATTTTGATACTTATGGCTGATCATGTCTAAAAATCTGCTCCAGTCGTTGGAAACGTAGGGTGTGTAATGTGTTCAGTTTAGAGTCTTAGAATGTTTCAGCGAGTCGTTAAGTCAAGTGAACTTAAGTGTGTCCCCGGCATTAGCCATCGCATTTTCTTTCTCTAAAAATGTTCATAACTTTATATAACGATATATAAAAGACTGGAAAAAGCAGGTTAAATTGTTCAAATTCAATCTAATGACAATTTTACACTTCAAATGTGTATGCACTAATATGTATTATTTTACAGTTAGATCAGTGAGACTTATAGGCTATTTTAACAATGTATTTTCTCACTTTCTGGGCTGGCAAGTTTCAAATAGAAGCGTATGAGACAGCTCTCAGATTTAATCAGAAATATCTTAATTTGTGTCCCGAAGATTAACGAAAGTCTTAAGGGGTTGGAATAACATGAGGGTGAGTAATTACTGACAGAATATTTGTTTTCGGGTGAACTAACCCTTTAAGCCTTTATTTCAGAAATACATCTATGCAGTGTGAATCGGTTTTAATGCTATCCTTTGAGGTGTATCTGTTAGTGGGTTTAGTATTTGTTTCAGTGTTATGTAGGCAGGGTTTGCACTGAACTGGGTTGAATGAAGAATCCGTAAGGATCTCTGTTTGTTTGATGCTCTGTGTAGGCCATGTTGACCAATCCAAATCGCTTTGATTCAACTTGATGAACAATCTTTTTTTTTAAGTAATACTTCACTTGTACTGTAACAGTGATTTAATTTTGTTTAAAGCAAGTCAAAACTCTGACAAGTAGCTCTGACAAAATCAGCTATCAGCATTAAGAGCAACAACAACAAAAACTTTACTTTAAAACTCAGTCTTGCAATGTTCATGCACATTTTTATAGAAGTTGTGCTTTAGGTATTTAAAACAGCTGATAACCCATGAACAAAAGCCTCTCAAGGACATGGTGGATGACAACTAGTCCACGATCTTACATTTCTGATCAAAGGAGAGGAGATATAATGGTGGTAGAGAACATTTTTCTCTGTTTTTTTTTTACCCAATACTTCAAAGCTAGAAAACACTGCACTTTAGATGCACCTCTAGAAGACAAATAAGGGTGTATAGTTCAAGGGAGTCTTCAGCTTATGTTAACATTTTTGGTGGTTGGGACTGGGAGGGAGTGCTGACATCATTAACACATTTAATGCCAAGTGCCAATCAAACCAAACCCCAGACTGAGATGATTAAGTAAAAGCATCTATGTGCAAGACACAAATGTCAAGGACAGCAAGGATCAAATAGGTGTATATGAGCAGAATATTATAACAGCAAATGGCAAAGTAAACCAATAAAGTGCTATAATTAATACAATCAAGTTCTCTCAAAAGCAAATTCAAATCAAGACAATGAAATGTTTAAGTTAGTGCACAAATGATCAACAAATGCAACTCCATTCAAATGTAAACTCATTGAATCCTGAAGCACGGTGATAACAATACAACATCACTGCATTATTTTAATGCATAGGGCCACAAGGTCCATAATGAGTAGAGAGGGTTATCCATTAACATTTCCAATCATTTCAATGGCAGCTTGCAGCAAGAAATAGGTAATTTGTCATCTTTAAATCCAATTTATGTTACAACAGGCTAACTGGGTCATGCTAACCTGCTTTATTTTAATACAGTAAACACAATAATATTTTTAAATAGCCAGTTGCACTTGCGAAAATGCAAGCGGAAAGACTGAACGCTGCATAGTGCATACACTCCCAAAATATCGAGATATCATTTTTTTTATATCGCACACCCCTACCCATTAGCATGACAAACACAGTTATCATGAGAGAAATCTTTTTGTAGAAACTGTTTTGTTCAGTATTCTTTGATTATTAGAAATGTTAAAGGGACAATGTGTAGGACTTTCTCCCATCCAGCGTTGAAATTGTATTTTGCATTCAAACGAATTGTGCTCTCCAGCGCCTTGCATCTACGGTAGCCATTATGTACCAAAAAGCTATGACAGGATGTCTTCTAACAGCACTTCATGGAGTGTCCCTTCAGGTGAACAGATTTGTTATTTTATACAAACAGCAACTTGACACCAAACAAACGAATGTTACTTACTGTATGAATTACTGACTGTGAAAAACATGAACTATTGTAATAAGTAGTTATATTTTCTGAAGAACGCACATTGTTAGATATCATCATCAACTTTTAACTATAAATGTTCATCCGTCTATAAAATAAAGTACACAACCAAACAATGAGGAAAAAAAGCTTGTAATTAAGACTAACATTGACTTACTGTCGATAAGAAAGCAGGCAACTTACTCGTGTTTTTTGTAATCTCCGGTCATGGTAATCTGTTGTCCCTCTCTGCTATTATAGTTTTTCAAGATGGCAGAACTACATGGAAGCCTCCTTGGACCTATCCATCCCATGTATATAAAAATAATAAATTCTTCATTTACGAGGATAAGTCAGATAATTGGCAGAGGTATTTGTACACCATTGAGGACATATTTATGAATAAAAATATTGATTTTAAATAATAACATATTTATTTAAAATAGTTGTTTTTTTACCTTTTAAATATCTTTACTGTCAAATGTGATCAATTTATTACGACTATTGTTTCATAAAATTATATATATGGTCATGTATATGCCCTACTTTCCCTTAAGAGACTTTCAGGGTTTATATGGAGGAGTACAACTGTTGATAACACTCTCATAGCAACAGCTGCTTTTGGAGACTTAGACAATCAAATACCAGTGTTTCTTCATCAGGGTCAAACAAAGCTATGCAGAGTATTTCAGAGGACTTTCGGAATTCGCTGACAGAATTAATATAAATATTTTCTTAAAAGCAGTTCAACTATTTAAACAGGAGGTATATTACCACATTATCAGACACCATCCCTTTTCTTTCCCTTCTTTTCAAGCAGACGAGCACCAGCACTTACATTAAGCTGACCTTGGCTGACGCAGCCAGTCACTGTGCAAGTGTGGATAGCACAGAGACATCCACTCCATCCAGCGGGCATCCATTTTATCAGCATCAGGGTGACGGAGTGCATGGCTGTCATGGGGATGAGATACGGCAGGCTGAGGTCCCATCAGTGCACTAACATCTGATGTCCTGACAGTGTCTGCTCA